CTAGGTAGTACTAGAGAGAGAGAGAGAGAGCTTGGGCGGAGGCCAGAGGTACCTACCTGCAGCGCCGTTGCTCCAGCTTCGTCTTCGAGGTACCTACGGCACAGCGCCAACATCACAGGTTAGTATCTGGTTCGTAACAGAGAAAGAGAGAGAGTTCTTCTTCTTCCTCTTCTCAGTCCACCATCTCTTCTCTCCCTCTCAACTTCTGACTTCACTGCATCTGCAGACTATGAGAGAAGAGATACAGAGCTTGGTGACATTTGATCCAGACTCGACTTTTGGAGGTTCAAACATGGCAACGAGGGACTATTTGGGATTGGTGACCAAGACTTGGTGTTAACGACATTCCCATCCTTCTCCCTCCTTTCGTCTGATCCTTATCTCTTTGTCTGTGTATGTCTGGACCTGGCGCTTTCTTCCTGTGTACAGYGCCAGGCTCCTTCACACTTGGTGATGGATATCATGCATGTTTAGTCTGAGTTCAAACATWGATTGGGCTAGTTAGTACTACTCTAGCAYTCTGTTTCGCTACTCTGAACTACGTGAATGAGGTCAGTCCTGTCAGGTCAGTCTTTGTATCAAAGTCTTCCCTGCGCCATTCAGCACCTTTTGTATGTATGAGAATGTACATTGTCTGTCGAGATTCTACTCGCACTGTATTGTCCAGTCAGTCCTTTTCATCACACTGCAGTTCCTCGGTTATTACTTACATTGCATATCTGTTTATGTAACAGTTGGTATCGGAGCTTTGCAAGTGAATCAGGACAACCTGATCTGACACGTGTACGGGGACTAATTAGCTGGTTAGTCTTTATTGATTGATTAGAGCACAATAGTTAGACCCCAAAATCACGATTTTGACCTCACTACCGAAAATCGAAATTTTTTTATTTTCTTGGATTTTATTTTCTCGCTTTTCTGTTGTGGAAAATCGCAATATCGCAACATCTGAAATTTCCATTTTCGTTTTTCTTCTGAAAATTCAAAATTTCGCTGTTGAAAATCCAAAATATTTTTCTTTTCGAAAATTTCGATTTCCTGTTGCATTTCCCGTTACTTAGAAATTCGGAATATTTTCTTTTCTGAAATTCGTTTTTCTGAAAACGGTACGGGAAATCCCTCCTGCGGTATTATTCTTCAAACTGTGAATATTCTCATCGGAATAAATCCGAATACTTGTCATTTCTGTTCGGAATTTTTTCGCAGTTCTGGGATTCTGTTGTTCAGTTCTATAAATCATTGGCAGTCTAAAATCGATTTTTTTTCTCTTTCAGTGATCATTTCGCACTTCAAGGGAGGTTGGGAGACCTACCGAACTTGCAAAAATCGGGATTTTTATTTTTCTCGAATTTTTTTTGCAAAGTTCAAACTTTTCTTGTTTGATTAGTGGCTCCTTATCTAAGTGATTAGTTGGGCGATTATCCCACCCACCCCTCCCCACCTATGTTGTTGCCGTCTCTCCCCTTACCTTCTCTGCTTGTCTCCGGGTACCCCCTGCAGCGGCATTGGTGAGTTGCCACGTCCAGCAGGCCACGTCAGCAGGACACGTCAGCAGTACCACGTCAGCAGCAAGGGATACCACATCAGCAGGCCCCGGCCTGGTCTATGCTTTTGCGGTCTCATACAGCAGTCATGGACCAGCAGCCCGGAGAAGCAGACGAGGCCTATCAGGCCCGCATGCTGGCCTGGAGTACCGAGACAAAGAAACGGGCAGATGACGCTGCCGCCGTAGCAAAGAAGAAGGCAGAGGATGCCGAGCAGGCACGTCTGCTGGCAATTGAACAACAGCGCCAGCATGACGAGGCAGCAGCAAGGGCTGCCGATGAAGAGAGACACCAACACCGTGAGAAGATCTTTACCGGAGAGCGGGCGTTACTGACAATGGCAGCGGAATGGCGAACCGAAGCGGAGGATGGCAAGTTGGAGGATAGCGCAAACAAGATCGCGSYSCTCCTCTCGCACCTCACAGATCTCCTCGCAACCTGCATTACACAGCAGGCGGAGATCCTCGGTCTCGACACCTCGCTAGCTCACGTCCAAGACCGCCTTCAGCGGTTGGAGCAAGCTCTTCCAACACTGCCGACCGCCTCAATGCATTGGAGATGGACGTCGGCTCACTCAAGGATGGCGTGCAATTACAGCAGACCGCGACGCAACAGTTGCAACAGCGGATCTGCACTACCGCCACCACCTCGAGTTCAGAACCACGCGAGACAACTCCAAAGTTCGACGGGCAGGAGATCTTCTGCGACTCAATGAAGACAGATCCGATTCCATGGTTTCGCAAGTTCGAGCTCACGCTGCAGCTCCACAACGTCAAGGAACTCAAGCACCACGCATACTTGTACTCTCGCTCAGGAGGCGCCTGTCAGGCTTCGTTGGACAACCTGTTGTCCAAGTACGGAGTGGTAGCCAATGACTTGCACACCAAGATCAGTTGGGATGATCTGAAGGCGGCGTGGCACAAGCGGTTCCAGGTGGAGCCGCCGGAGATCAAGGCCATGGACAAGCTCATGATCTTCGAGCAAGGCGCGCTGCCGAGTACGGACTGGATCGCCGAGTACCAACGCTTGACGTCAATCCCAGACATCCAGATGGGCTTCAAAGTCATCCGCCATTACTTCATCTCAAGGTCATGTCTGGCATTAAGCAATGCCCTGACGACGACGGCGGAATTGTTTGACAAGGCCATGCAGATCATCGTCACGAACAAGGAGGCCAAGAACCTCCGTTCATCTGCGTCAGGCCCGAGCAGGGACCAGCATCGGCCAAGAGCGGCCGTGGTCGCAGCGGCAACGCCGTTTGACCAATCCAGCGAGGCTGTGTCTGCCAGTGAAGGGGATAGACTCGCAGCCGCCCGGGAAGGTGGCCGCCCCGGCAGAGGCCGACGACGAGGCAAGACGAAGACACACACCGCTTCTAGCCCCGGGCCCGGTGCAGCAGCTCAGGCAGGCCCATGGTCCCAGTATGGCATCTCCGAGCAAGCATTCAAAGCACGCGAGAGATTCCATTATTGCCTTTGGTGCAACAGCGATCTTCATCAGACGCAGGTCTGCCCATTGAAAGGCAACGGAAAACAGGGAAACTGAGCACCACAGAGAGTGACTCGACGACACTCTCAACGCCTTCGGAACCAGTTTCTTCGCGAGTAACCGGCCTTCATTACGAGGCGCACGTGGAAGTCAATAGTCCTCTTCTACTCTCTTTCGAGGACTATGCTGCCCGGCTCGTTCCTACGCTGGGTACTCAAGCTCAAGGACAAGGAGTGTGTGCGGTTTCTTCTCCGTCCGGCAACRGCGACATATCGTCTTCAAGTGGTTCTTCACGGGATTCGGCACGCGAGTTCAACATAGAGGCATTGGACCCGCTCACGCCTGAGGACTTTGCATGGCTTCCTCTTCCGACCACAGGCTGTTTGCCGAGACCGCAATGCGCAGCACTTAGCGCTAGTCTTCACACTTACTTATCCTTCTATGCACCACCAACTTCGCCGACGGATGACGAAGTCGCGGTGGGGGACATCCTGGCATATACTACCAAGGTGGCCCGCGAGTTTCACACGCAGCGGTACGATGACGACAACGCACCGCTCATGTATGTCCGCATTCAGGTTGGGCAAGCGTCCTGCAGCGCTTTGCTGGATAGCGGCGCGTCTCGCAACTTCATGATTCAGTCCTTTATGCAAATGGCTGGCCTTGGCGCACAAGTTCGGAGGAAGGCAAACCCGACGGCGATCAAGTTGGCGGATGGAAAGACGCAACAACTTCTCGACCGTTACATCGAGGYCGTACCGGTCTACTTCGCACCTCATGCATGCGAACCGGTAACATTCGATATTCTCGATACGGACTTCGACATCATTCTGGGAATGCCTTGGCTTGCAAGTGCGGATCACAGGATCAACTTCCACCGCCGGACTCTTAGCGTTCACGACGCCTTCAGCGCGGAAGTGGCGTGTACTATTCCTCTACCGCACCCTTCGATCCGGTGCCAAGTGGTGACGGCCAAATCATTCCGGGCGACTTGCGCTTACGAGCAGCCCGAGGAGATTGGCCTATGTTTTCTACGGACCGTCGCGGTAGACGACTCTTCACCCACGGACTTGTCTTCGGACCCTCGTGTGGTACGGTTGCTGGACGAGTTCGCCGATATCTTCGAGTCACCTACCGGTGTGGTGCCGGATCGGTCGATCTCTCACGAGATCATTCTTGAGGCCGGTGCCGTGCCGCCGAGAGGTTGCATCTATCGGATGAGCGAGGAGGAACTTGAGGTCCTCCGCGCACAACTCGACGATTTGTTGGCCAAGGGTTGGATCCGCCCTAGCAGCTCCCCATATGGAGCACCAGTTCTCTTCGTCAGGAAGAAGAACAAGGATCTACGACTGTGTATCGACTACCGCAAGCTCAACGCGCAAACCGTCAAGAATGCGGGGCCTCTTCCTCGCATCGACGATCTTCTTGAGCGATTGCGCGGCGCAAAATATTTTTCCAAGTTGGATTTGAAATCAGGATATCATCAAATCTCGATCCAGCCGAACGACCGCTACAAGACCGCGTTCAAGACGTGGTAGGGGCATTTCGAGTGGCTGGTCATGCCTTTTGGCCTCACCAATGCCCCGACGACCTTTCAGGCGGCAATGACCAATGAATTACGTGCAATGTTGGACCGGTTCGTGCTGGTCTACTTAGACGATATTCTCGTCTATAGCCGGTCATTGAAGGATCATCTTGGGCATCTTCGACGAGTGTTGGAGACGCTCCGCCGCGCCAAGTACAAGGCCAACCGCGACAAGTGTGAATTTGTCCGGCAGGGGCTGGAATACTTGGGCCATTTCGTCACACCGGAGGGCATCAGTCCGCTATCGGACAAGATTCAGGCCGTCCAAGAGTGGCCGGAGCCTCGGAACGTCACAGATGTCCGCTCGTTCCTCGGTCTCGCCGGCTACTATCAGCGCTTCATCAAAGGCTACTCAAAGATCACGGCCCACTTGAACAAGCTTCAATGCGAGGATCGGCCGTTTGACTTCGGAGAGGAGGCGCGGGGATCATTCTTCGCTCTCAAAGCCGCGCTATTGTCTGCGGAGGTTTTGCTGATATACGACCTGCTCTTGCCTACGCGCGTCACTACGGATGCGTCAGGCTATGGCATTGGTGCAGTCCTCGAGCAACATGACGGTGTGGACTGGCACCCGGTCGAATACTTCAGCAAGAAAGTGCCCATCGTGCATTCCATTGATGATGCATGCAAGAAGGAGCTCCTCGCCTTCGTCCACGCGCTCAAGCGGTGGCGGCACTTCCTCCTTGGTCGAAGCCAATTTCGCTGGGTAACGGACAACAATCCGTTGGTCTTTTACARGACCCAAGACACYGTCAACAGCACCATCGCTCGATGGATGGCTTTCATCGACCAGTTCGACTTCTTTCCYGATCACATTCYCGGGAAGTCGAACCGTTTTGCGGATGCTCTTYCACGGCGTCCGKATCATTGTACCGCGGTCTACTCAACCTTCGAGATCGACGACGACCTGCGGAACAGTTTCATCCGCGGCTACCAAGCCGACCCCGAGTTTCGCGACAAGTACGCRAATTGCTCCTCTYCTAATCCGGCTCCTTCTCACTACCGGATCCAAGAGGGGTACTTGCTTGTCCACACGCGGGGGAAGGACCTTCTTTGCGTACCAAGTGATCCTCACTTGCGTTCACGGCTTCTTGGCGAGTTGCACGATGCTCCCGCCACCGGACACTTTGGAGTCAATCGCACGATTGGCCGACTTCGCCAGCGATTTTGGTGGCCCGGCCTTCTCGGCGACGTCACACGCTATTGTGAGTCATGCGAGGTTTGCCTACGATGCAAATCCCGCAACCATCGTCCGTACGGCGAGTTATGACCATTGCCAGTCCCGTTGAGGCGAAGGGAAGCGATTGCCATGGACATTACCGGCCCGTTCCCCAAGCACAAGGCCGGAGTGGATGAGATTCTTACGGTGGTCGACCGACTCACCAAGTTTGCCATGTTTTTGCCTTGTCGCTATCATGCCAAGGCACCGGAGTTGGCCGAGGTTCTCTACGCCGGTTGGATTCGAACCAAGGGTTACCCCAAGGAAATCGTCTGCGACCGCGACACTCGGTTCATGTCCGATTTTTGGTTGGCACTCATCAAGCGATGGGGCTCATCTCTCAAGCCCAGTTCAGCTCGCCACCCTCAAACCGATGGCCAGACGGAGAGGGCGCATCAGACCGCACAGGTTCTCCTTCGCACTCTCATCCGCCCCGACCAGAAGGACTGGGTTGAGCGACTGCCGGATGTCGAGTTGGCCTACAACTCATCTATCCACCCGGCTATCGGGATGTCGCCCTTTGAGTTTGAGCACGGCTCGCCGGTGACTTCACCGTTGGACACTATTACTCCACGAACAGTCGAGAGCGACAACCATCTTCTTTTCTTGCGTCGGATGCAAGAGCTTCTTGTCAAGGCACGCGATCAGATGGCTAAGATGCAGCAGCGCATGAGCCAACAGGCCAATCGCTAGCGTCTTCCTTGCCCATTCCGCGCAGGCGACCTTGTTTGGGTTTCCGCAGCGGAATTCAGCCTTGAACAATACATCTCTCGCAAGCTCCTCCCGAAATGGATGGGGCCTTGGCCGATCGTAGCGCCCGCTGGGGATGCACCCGAGGGACCTTCCTTCACGATTCAGCTGCCTGGCCACTTGCCGGTCTACCCAGTCTTTCATTGCTCCAAGTTGGCTCTTTACACGCCAGCGGAACATGACGATTTTCCCAGGAGACGTACGCAAGACCCACCTTCTATGGACGGTTTTCAGGAGGTCGGCGACATCATCTCCCAGCGACGCTACGGCAACAAGCCAACTGAGTATTTGGTGCACTTTGCATACTGCACACACCGAGCTGACCGTTGGTTAACCCGTGCGGAACTTCAAGCAACAGCTCCAGACGTTCTCGCACGCTATGAACGCAAGATGCAAGGCAAGCTGGTTTCTTCGATTCCACGCCGCACCCGCGTCCAGGTTCCACCTTCAAATCGTCGGCTTCGCCCTCGCCCCGGCTTGACTTCATAAGGAGGGGGGGGTGTTACATGCTGCGCCTGCACACGCATGCCATTTGCCAGGCCCTGCGCCCTTCAGCCAAAAAGCCTAGAATTCAGCCTGAAAACAGGGGCCTACAGTCCCTGTGTCGTTTCAAACTAAAAATGGCAAGAGCCTTTTTAGCCTGAAACGAAGGGAAATTTTCGGTCGTTCACCAGAACGACCGGCCCTGAAACTCAGGCACCAAACCAGGGTTTCGGGAACAAGCTATTCTTAGCCTGCATCCACGCCAGCCTCAGCAGATGCTGCAGCGCCAGCCCCTGGCACACTTCGGCATTGGCAAGAGCAGCCTCCTCGGCCTGGCTGGCCCTTCAGGCAGTCAGGAGGCAGGCCGTGCATTGGCAAGAGCAGCCTCCTCGGCCTGGCTGGCCCTTCAGGCAGTCAGGAGGCAGGCCGTGCATTGGCAAGAGAGCCTCCTCGGCCTGGCTGGCCCTTCAGGCAGTCAGGAGGCAGGCTGTGGATTGGCAGGAGCAGCCTCCTCGGCCTGGCTGGCCCTTCAGGCAGTCAGGAGGCAGGCCGTGGATTGGCAAGAGCAGCCTCCTCGGCCTGGCTGGCCCGTAGGAGGCAGGCCGTGGAAGTATATAGGTACCCCCCCAGGCACTTCACGATGCATTCAGGAGTTGTAGTCTTCAGGATTCGGGAGCAGCACTCTGGAGGGAGCACTGCAGTGTAGTAGTAGTAGCGTTAGCTTGTAGT